TGAATTAACAGACTAAATGTCTTCTATTTTAAATTTTTTTCATCTTTACTTATGAAAAATGTTTGTAACACTATTATTTAAATATTTATAATATTATTAGTAACATGGATTTATAATATTATTAGTAACATTTAAAAATTAAATTATTAAATATGAAAAAATTCATATAGCACAAATTTTTTAATATCTTTGATATTCATTATTTTGATGATTGCATCATCGATGCAAAATATGTATTATTAATTCATTTTTATTAAGTCATTTTTAGCAATTTTTTTTTTGTAACTATTAAATATTTATAAAAAATTCTATCCTAATAAAAAAAAATATTTATGTCTCAGAAAAGAAAAATTTTTTGAATTTCCTAAAAAGATTCCATTTTAATAAAAAAATATTTATTTCAAAAAAAGAAAAATTTATAGACTTATATAATATTTTTTTTATCTAAGGAATAATAGAAAATAGTTTTTTTTTTTAATTTAATCAAAATTTGACCATCAATTTCCATAATATTTTATATAAATATTAGAATAATTATTAAATTTGAATATAAAATATAGATTTGAATAGCGATTATTATTCCGCTATATTATTATTATTAATATTATTAATATATTATTATATATATAAAATATAATATATTATTATTATTAAGAATTATGCTTAGATCACTAATGTTTATACAATGCATATTTTTATAAGAAATAAATATCCAAAAATCTAATAAATAATCAAAAATGTTGACTTATTTAAAACGTGATTTTCTAAAATTACATAATATTATAAAAGTAATAATTAATATTACATACAATGTCTATAATAAGCTATTTTGAGAAATTGAAAAAATTATTTTAATAAATATAAAAAAAATTAATTAGAATCGCAAAGAAAATAATAAGATCATTTTTGACAATTTTTTAATTTTTGATAACTTTTCTTGACACTTTTAATGAAAATTTTAAAAAATATAGTTTATAGATTGATATCAGTTATCCAATGCCAAAAATTTTATTAAAATTTATTATTATAATCTATGAATTATAATTAATTAAAAATTATGAAAATTATTTTTCACAATTTTTGATATAAAATTTTAACATCTTTCGATGCCTATTCTTTGTTTCAAGATTTTTAAATAAAAATCTCAATTTATATAATATATATAATATATATAAATTTCAATATGTAAATATCACATATTTGTAAAAATGTGAGATATCTTTGAATGGTAGATTTTAAATATCAAAATATATAAAAAAAATTCACATACATATATTCTGTTATATTATATGATAATATAATATGATAATATATTATATTCTATTATCAAAATATATAGACGTGAATGATCAAATTCCTATACTAAACTATAATTCACAAACTCGCTAAGTGTTTAAGTATTTAAGTATTCCCACATCAATTAAACGATGCGAAAATATAAATAGAATTTATTTTTTCTATTTTTAAAATATATCTGTGGAGAATTGTGTTCCAATATAATTCTTCAGATACCACAAGCAAATTCCAAGCTTCTTCTTTAGTTATTCCGAATTTGGAAATAGCTAATTCAATGACGACTTAGAAAGAATAAATATAAATCGATTAAATATCATTATGCAAAATTTTTATCACAACAATTTTCATGAAAAAGATCAATCTTTTTTCATAATATCATCAAAATCCAAATAACGAACCAATTTTTTTTAGAAAATCATAAAAAAAGATGAATATAAACTAAAAATAAATAAATTAAAAATAATCAAGTAAAAATTTTACCGTTTAATCCAGACAACGATAAATTTCTAGGAAATTAAAAATATTTTTAGAAGTATATTAGTATATTGTATTGTTTTTACTATATTATAAATTTAAAAGAATTATACCTTATCCTTACTTTTTTGTATTACAATTGTAATTATAATAAAATTAATTATACATATATTAACATATATTATAATAACATTTAACATATATTAACAATTTCAATAAAATAATAAACTAGAAATGAATAATAATTCCAAGAATATTTGCAAAAAATATACAAACACAAAATATTACAATATCTTAAAAATAATATTAAATCACGTTTAAAACTTACTATCAATATTATCTAGTCTGAATATCTAACTATAAAACAATTGATACACATAATACATTTCAATCTAAAATACACAAAGCAAATAAAATCTAAAATATTTCTTATATTTTTCTTCCCATTCTATATTGAGAAACGAATATATATCTACATATATTAATATTCGATAATTATAGAACTAACAAAGAAACATAAGAAAAAAATTCTTATTTTCCTCAGAATTAAAAATTATTGTCTTAGAATTGAAATAAATTCTATAGATTGTACTTAAACCCTTGCAATTTTGATATTACCAATAATAGACCCTTACCCTCATAATTAAACTATAGCCGTCCATCACTTGTCACGCGATATATCAACATTATTACTTTTTGATATTCATAACAGACGATCATATAGAAAATATTCAAGAATAGAAAAAATTATAGAAATAGTGTTCAGTTGTGTGACTGCTGTTCAAATTTCATGAAAGAATGGACTTCGAAGGTAGTCAATATTATAACATTAATCGAATTCTTATGATCTGCGTTGGTCTTTGGCCGTTCGAAAGAACAATATATTCGAAATTGTTAAATATTTTCATCTTTTTACTTTTGAGCACTGCGATATTTATACAGGTATTTTCTTTAATTGTTACAATTATTAATAATTATGTAATTGTAAATTAACTACTTTATTTTATTTAAATTAAAATACTAATTTAATTTTTTCGAGAAAAAAATATTCTACTTTAATTTTAGACAATGTCATTCTTAACGTTAAAAATGGACATGAGTCTAACATTGACTTCATTATTCTATACCTTGTGTACATGTATTTGCATTATGAAGTATTTCAGTTTTTTATTTCATATTAAAGATGTGAGTATAGAAAAAACATAAATGAATATTACTTATTATATTATATTGTCAAAATTTTGAATTGTTTTATTGAAATTTTCATTTGAACTTTTTATTTTATCTTAAGATTCTATTTTTCGCAAATATAGGTAAAAGTTTTTTTAGATGAAATTAAAAAAGATTGGAACTCATTAAAGAATATAGAAGAACTCCGAATCATTCATGAATACTCTAAAACCACAAAAGGAATAACAATATGTTTCGTTAGTAAGCGAAAATATTTCATTTTTTCTATGATTATTTCATAATTTCATATAATTGAAAAAAGAAAACTGTTATTTAAATTATCCTATCATTCAAATTCTTATTATATCGTAAATATTAAAATATAAAATATTTTTTATTTCGGTTAAATTATACGAACACATATTATATCGATTGAATCAAACAAGAAATTATCGTTCAAAATGGAATAATCAAATACTAATTATCTGTAGATTTGTATCGATTGCACACCTAGTAATAATTATGAAGAATTGATCGAACGTTTGCAACATAGTCAACATATTAGCAACATATTATACATTCATTTATAAAACGTATTCTCATAGACATCATTGTTGTTTATCTAACGTTATTTTTTTATCTAATGTTATTATTAAAAAGTACTATTTATTTTTATAATTATTTTTATAATTATTTTTATAATAATTAATTGATAGTTTTATTTATATTTTCACCAAATTGCATGAAAAGTGACATAATACTTTTTTATTTAATATTTTTATATATATAAAATTTTTTTTAACATTGTTTATGATTTTTGTATTTTATTGTAGATATTTTTAAATATAACAACTGGTTATATTTAACGCGTAATATTATTACAGTCATTTTTGTACCACTACAATTGATATTCTTCTTGAGTGTATTTGGTAACGATATCCTAGATATTTTGATTCCTCTAAATCACACTCGCTCGCGAACAGTTCCAATCGTAATTGACTATTTCGTCGATCAACAAAAATTTTTCTATGTTTTTGGTATGCATTTGAACCTTATTATCAATTTCGGAGGATTAGGAATTATAGCTACTGAAACATTATCTATGGCTATAATGCAACATCTTTGTGGATTGTTAAAGATTATTAGGTAAAAAAATTAAACAATATAAATCTTACTAAATTAAAAAATGAATTATTTATTTTAAACGACACAAATATTATTATTTTTATTTTATATTAATTATAATAATATATATTTATATTAAAATAGTTAAAATAATATATAAATTGAATAATGTAATAGTTGAATAATTTAATAGTTATTTAATATTTATGGATTAACATTTTTTAGCAAGCATTGAATTGTTTTAAATTTGTCTTTCGATTGAAATACATATTAATCATTAAACATTATTTCATATTTTCGGTTATTATATAATATTTATTTAATTTCAATTATTTTATTTATTTATTGTACATATAATTTCTCTTAGTTTTTTTACAGCTTCCGTATAAGTCATACATTTGTTGCAAACATACCAAGAGTATCTTTTACAGAAAGAAATACAATAATTCGAAAAAAAGTGATGTCAATCGTGTATTTACACGTAAAAATCAAAAAGTTAGTATCCCATTATTAACTGATAATCATAAACAAGTTTTCTAGAGCATAATAATATTTTTTTATATTAAATTTTTAATAATATTAAATTTTTCATTTATTTCCTTTTGTAATTATTTTCATTAAAAGCTTCAAAGATTAATATTTCGTACAATTAATGAAATTGTTTTTTTTTTTTTTTGTTAAAGTTACATCAACTGGATTCAAGAAAAGATAATAATATTCTATAACTTTTTAATGTTATTTGGTTTGATTGAATTTAGTATTTCCATGTATGAAGTAAGTATCAACGATACAAGTGATTATTGATAATCACAATTGATAGTCACAATTGATAATCTTAATTATTTTCTGTCTTTAAGCTTACCAAATCAATAATATCCAATGATACAAATGAATTAATTTCATCTCTATTCTTCGTAATTTGCATTACTATTTATGGATTTATTCCCAATCATTTTGCGCAAAAGATAATCAATCACAGTTCTAATATTTTTATAGATGCGTGAGTATCTTTAATTCATTAATTGAAGAAAAATTTTAATAATCGTATATTAATAATTTCTTAATCATTCATTTTAGTAATGAATTAATTTTAGATACAACACAGAATGGTACAAGCTCCCAGTAATAGAACAAAAATTATTACTGTTCATCATGCAGAACAATTTGAAAAATCTTAATTTCGTGTTATTGGGTTCCATGATTGCATCTTATAATGTATACGTAACGGTAATAAAAATGATTGAAATAATATTTAATCTTATTATGTGTATCTGTTTACCGAAATTGGGTTATTTCAGATACTACGTACGGCATTTTCGTATTTTATGGTCATTTATTCTATTGATTTTAAAACTGATGAATAATCGTACAATTGATTATTAATGAATATTTGAAAAAATTTTTCTTCAAGTTTCAAGATATCATATTTTAGCAAAAAAGAAAACAAATGAAACATTAATAAAGTAATATTAAAACGTAGTAAAATAAGATTTTCATGTGATATAAATTTATAATCAATATTTTTTTCCAGCCAATAATTGTGATTTTTTTTTAATTTAATAATTGATTTTATTTTCTTTTTTTATTCTAAAGATAAATTTTTAATTGATAAATAATGTATTTTACAGAAGAAGTAAGTTTAATCACTTTGGCATTGATAAATTTTTAATTGATAAATAATGTATTTTACGGAAGAAGTAAGTTTAATCACTTTGGCATTGATATACATCAATCATAATGTTATTTTGAATAACTTTTCCTTATAACTTAATTAATAATATCTTATATTTTTTGCAAAAAATAATTGTTATTAAGTTAAATTTCCATGATTTGATACGTCATAATTAATTTATATAATTTATATAATTCAATATCAATTTCATATTTATTTTTAAATTGTAGATATATAATATAAATATTATATTTATATTTTTATGAGCATAAAAAAATTAACTAAAAAATTAACTAAAAAAATTATGAATTAATATATATAACTTAAAAAATATTAAATAATGTAAAGATTGACGAAAATAAGATTGAAAGTTATAAAACAAGAATTTAATAATTAAAATATTGAAAATTATATATTTTGTTTTCTTTATTTCAAATAAAAAATGTATTAATTCATAAATTAATATTTTTTTATAGTATGGGCACTTTTTGTAAGTATATTTATTTTTTTGGAATTTTTATTAACAAATAAAATCATTTTATATTATTATTTATAGCATGTATATATATATATACAATACATATATACAAATCTAGATTTATTTTACAGTATATTATATATTATTTTTTGAAAAAAAATAATTCAATTTCATAACTACTCATTGTTACAAAAGAATTATAAAAATTATATTAGAAAAATAAAAAAGAAAAACGCAGAATGAAGAAATGTCATAAACTAGCATCGTTCGTATTATTTCGAGCTGATTTTGTAAACATTGTACGAAACAATGTTTAATAAAATATCTTTTAATGCTGCACTTACTTTTGATATAAAAAAATATACTTTGATATAAAAACACTTTGATATAATATTGTGATAAATGCATTATTTTTTTTATAAAATTTTCATCATCCTTTAAAAGTATAAGTAAATAAATAATAACATATTTGTGTAATATTTTTGAAGAATTAATCCAAAACAAATACACAAGATAGTATAAAAATATTAGTTAAAACATTTAAAAAGTTTTAAGATATTTAGTAATATTAATATTAACATATTTAGTCATCATTTATTTTATTTAATTATAATTAAAATTTGTATTAAATGAAGCAATAGAAATATTTCTATTTCTATTTGTTATTTAGTTTCCATTAACTTCATCTTCAATTATTAATTATGACTTAATAATACTGATATTTTTGTAAATCAAATTTTGTGTATCTATTGATTGGGCAGTGAAAACAATAAATAAAATGTACGAATATAGCTGAATGAATATATGTATTAATTATACGTAATTGTGCGTATTTGTTTACAAACTATTTGAAGTATGTGTATCGAAGAAAAACAAATAGATATCAACTATGAAATAGTGATGTTGGTGGCAACATCAATAATAAAACCACAAATGAAATTTCAGTGAACTTTAAATTCTATAACACTCTCACTAAAAGTGAACTAAAATTTATTTAATGTGTGTACATTTATTATGTTTGCATATCATAATTCTATATACCCACTATATTTTCGATACTGTTGATATTCAATCGATTTCTTTGTACTTCAACTATTCTTCTTCTCAAAAGTTTTGTTGCTTTGCCTGCTAATTTTCCGATGCTATATGTTGCAACAAAAATTCTTTCTCGTTGAATTTGTCTCGTACGAAATGATAACGTACGTCAATATACTTATTCCTTCGATGAAATTCTGAATTTTTAATAAGCACAATCGCGCTCAAATTATCTAAATAAAGAATCGTTTTAAGATTCTTGAACATAGCTAGATCATTGATCAAACTTTTTATCCATGATTTCTTTCACAGTTTGATTTGCTGCTATATACTCGGCTTCAGTAGTCGATAAAGCTACTGTTCGTTGTCATGTTGATTTCCAAGCAATTGCAGATTCGTCTAGTTTTAATACAAAACTAGTAGTAGACTTCCTGGTTTCAGTATCTATCAGCAGCGTAATCTGCATCGCTGAATACTTTAATGTGATTATTCTATTCGGTTGAGAAAATCATATCATATGAATATCATATTTTGTTGTTCTCTTTAGATATTTGAAAATTCTTTATACTGCATTCCAGTGAATTTTGCTTGGTTTTTCCAAATATTGATTGGCTTTGTTCATTGCAAATGTAATATCTGGTTTAGTATATTGACAATTAACTTCCTATCGCTTGTCAATACGGGAATTCTGATTTTTCCTGTTTTCCTTGCCCACTTTTATGCGCCTCCACGCATAGTTGATAGTTTTGATTTGCTGGAATTGCTACTGTGTTAGCATTTTTCATCCGAAATCATTGCAAAATTTTCTTAGTATAAGCCTGTTGCAAAAATATGAAACTGCCAGTCGCTCAATCTGTAATCTCAAATATATATCTCATTAGATGTTCATTTTAAATTCCTTACGGAGTTCAGCTAACAATTTTTTTATGGATGACTAGTTCGTTACGTTTAGTCCATCATCATAATGGATCGCTAGAATCAATCGGTCCTGATCGTTTTCATTTGTAAATATGCAATAGTCTGCGCTGGTGGACATAAGACCATGCTTCTTCAGCACCGCTGTAAAACGATGATTCCAACATCTTGGTGCTTGTTTTAAATCATAAACTACGATTCAACTTGCAAACACGATCGATTCCATCCTCGTATTCCATCCTTCGATTGCTGCATATAGATGACCTCTAGTCGAGTTCTCCGTGAAGAAAAGCCGTCTTGACATCAAATTGTTATAAATAGTATTTTCGAAGCTGTGATAGATAGGATAGTCCTTATTGAATCGAATTTAACTACAGAAGTAAACGTTTCAGTCATGATAGTCAACTTCGGCAGCTTGTTTGAAACCTTTAGCAACGAGTTTTAAATCGTTGTATGTTTCCATTGTTATTCATTTTCAGTTTGTCCATGCATTATCTATGACTTGATTATTTGATGGCGGATTTACTAATATCGATGTTTGAGTTTTTCTCAAAGAATCGATTTCAAAGAATTGGTTTCTTTTCATCTGATTGCATTGCTACATGTGATTACATCATCATAGTTTTCCGGTTCATGATGTTCTGTGATTACAATGTTTCTGTACGTGAGTTTGTCTGGTCAGTTCATATTTTATTTTTGTCTTTCAAACGTCGGTCTTGTTCATATTGATTTTTATTTTTTTGAATTGTTTGATTCTTCATCTGAATTCATTTGCTTATTGTTTTCTGATTGAATAATAGTTTTCGATTCGACATTTATTTTTGTTATGTCGTTTTTCTTTTTCGACATTCAAAGGTTATATGATATTTGACTCTGATTTCCATTCTTCATTTGAATTAATTTCGTAATGCTGATTCGTGAATCTTACATCCCTACGTATTTTAACTTATCCTGTTTTAGGAAGCCGGAATCCTTTTATGTTTTCATCATATCCAACGAAAACGCCATTTTTGTTTCTTCTCTTTAAGGAAATGAAAGTATACTTCTTCCCCGAAAGTTCTGAAGCTCGAAATGTTCGGTCTCTTTTTGAAGTCAATGGGTGTTACTCCTTTCCCCCCACTGAAATTTTCTAGACATCGTGATGTCTCTGATTTGTTTTTGATGAAATATAAGCTTCTTCAGTAACTGTAATCATTTTTCATCATTAAGAAATATTGAGCTCCTCCAAGCGAATTTTCTTACATTGGATCTGAAAGATCTGCATGGAGTTTTCAAATACGTTCAGATTTTGTATCACTTGGAAATGGCAGTCTGTGCATTTTGTCTAGGATGCAATTTTCGTAACAAAACTTCTGATCCTTAAAAATGATATTCTCGGATCTTAGAATTTTCTTCATCTGATCTACATTTCTAATGAGCCATTTGTTTGTGCCAAGCGAAAAGAGAATTGTGCACTGCCATATTTGCCTTGTCTGTAATGACTTTTTCATTACAAATAACTTTTCTTTATCCCATTTTTGTTTCTCCCATTACAATGGTATTTCCATTCTTTATAAATGTGCATATTTTATTACCGTAATTTCTTGTCAAGAATTGATACACCGAGAAAAGATTATAGATTTAAATAATAGTATGATGCATCCAACCACGAAATGCATATTATGCAATGTTTATGTTCATGATTTTTTAACGAGCATGGAAAAAGCAATCACAATTAGAGAAAAAATAGATGCTTTTCTATGATCAGCCGATCTGTAGTTGCGAAAATGGGCATTTAACAAATCATCGATTGTTTAAAATCTTACAGACGGATCCATAATCATAATATCTTAAATTGATAAGGATTCTTAGATAATCGATTTGCGCTAGGAATCGACTATAAAGCAGCTGAATATAAATAATCCACTTATTTCGCGAGTTACAAAACAAATTATTATTTCAAAATAAACAGATTTTCAGTTCTCTCAGTTCAGTAAATTTCATCAGTAAAATTCATTCAAAATTCATAAATCATCAATTTAAACATTTTGGTGCTTTCGTGAAACGAATCGGTATCTCAATATTTATAATGAGAAACATCAATCGGATTTAGAATCTTTACAATATATTAGCGATGGAAGTATGATGAAATGGATTTTACGATGCTTTTGATGGACTTATGGCGCATATATAAATATATATATATATATATATATATATATATTGGCTTAAAAGACATAATGATCTGCTTACTATATATAAAATCGCATATTGTAACTACTATT